ACACACACACACACACACACACAAACTTACCCTCCCTCTCTCTCTCACACACACATATTGCAGCAATTCAAACAAGACTTGTTTAGCTCTTAGAAGAGTTTTTTTTAAAAGTAGACCAAGTTGAAGATCAGAAAGAGGAATAAATAATACATCTATAGTTTACTTGGGACCATGTTTTGTGTGTAGCTGTTTGTCACGGTGTTCTTGCGAGTTGTTTGAAACTGAGTAATCTGGGCTGGGTTTGGATACAGTCCAATATCTGTACTGTAATGGTTAATGGAGGCTCTTTGCCGTTGCACGCTTCAGGCTGGAGCTCTTTAGTTTTTGTTAGCGTTTTACAGTATTTGCAACGTATTTAGAACATATAAGTGCCAAAGGTTAGAGATGTTACAAGAGAGTAATAAAGACACACACGCGCGCGCACGCACACACACACACACACACACACACACACACACACACACACACACACACACGCGCACACACACACACACACACACAAAGAAGGAGAGATAATGACGACAGATATTTGATAGGAAAGAAGGAACCTACAACACCAGAGCACCGGCCAACTACTCAAAGGCATGAGTTCGATTCCCAAGCAAGAATTTGTCTTATCAATAAGTGTCTCCGTCATCTTTCTGCAGAGATGATTGGGCCCACTCTTTGCAGACTGGTCTTTGAAAGCAGGATCGAAGCAGCCCTCTTCCTACATTGTGTTACTGGGACGCAATAAAAAAAAAAAAAAAGATTTTGAAACATACTGGCTGTAGCATGTTATTAGTAAGCCGGTGTAGTGATGCTGTAAGCCCTTATCTTTTTGAGGGTACACAACTCTCTACTTTTGGTTGTCTTTCTAACTGAAAACTCCTTCAATTATAATATAATGTAGCTGGAGGCCATGCTGGAGCTCATGCCGGAGGCAAGTACCGTGGGGTTTTTTCTCTTTGTAACAATTATAAAGTGCTCGAATCCAGTCCACAGCTACTTGACAAAGAAGGATACATCTTATGTATCGTCATTTGTTGCGTATAACCCGTGGCGATGAAAAAAGTTAGACAATGTGAAAGGCACTTTGTCCCATTCCCAGGCCTTGAATTTTTAAAGTCAATTGGGTCTATTCTTGTAAAGTCGTTTCCCTGTCAATGTTTGTCCTCGTCGACGTAGGTATGTGCACAGTGTACTTAGTGGGAGAGTCAGGGGTGGTTTGATGAGGTGTGCACGGTAGCGAAGGACTGACAGCCAGAAGTTGCAGGATTATAATATGGACAGTGACTTGGGTATACTGTTCTGTTTCGTTGGGTGTTATCGTTTGACGAATGACTTTTAGAAAAGGGGGGGGGGGTGCACATGTTAAGTGTATAATATTTCAATTTTCACGAGTTATTAGATTTTGGGATGTATAAAAGAAACCAAACCAAAACAAAACAAAACAAAGCACTGATGCGTCATGACCAGATCCTGTCTAAATATTAGAGATTGCAAAATCAGGAGAGACCTTACATGGCTGGAATTCAGGCAAAACCAAAGTCAATATCAAAACAAAACGTATTATTACGACTCCTCTCTACTGTTCTCGAGCGGTGGCTCAGAGGCCAGTACCTTTCAGCCTCGGAAAGAATTCAAGTGATAAGTTAGCTGTCTTTTGGTATCAAGGAAATTGAGAATCAATAAATTTTTATAACATCTGTTTTCTGATAAGAAAAGATAAGATCTTTATTGTCCGGATCCTGACACATTTGTTTGGCGTTTCACCATGTATACACACACACACACAC